GTAGGGGTTCTACTCAAGCCCAATTTAAATACCATAAAGAAAGTATTGAACCCAGCTCAAGCTAAATGTCAAATGTATTTAATTAATGCACAAGTGTTTGATTTATTTTAAATGTTCCAGTCTAGCTTCCTTCGAGTTCAGTCGAAGCAACAAATTGTTTCTCATAACATTCTCACTGCTGTCCCAAATGTTTTAACCTTGGGCAGACAAGCTGTTCACACACATACTTACACACACACGCACACACACACACACACACACACACACACACACACACACACACACACACACACACACACAAACACACACCCACACTTTGGATAAGTATTCACCTTACCCGCATCGTAAATTGTTGCTTTCTTTAGAGTTATTAGTAATTTAAGATTAATTATTAAATTAAATGTGGTACATAAAATAAAATAAATAAAATAACTTTGACTTGATAATTTTGTTCACAACATTAGACCTGTCCTCTAATCTCTACCAGAATAAGATATGTGTGCATGTTTGGGTGTTTTAACACTCCTGTAATGTACCTAGTCTTGTTATACTTTTCATTACTGAGCTGGGAAGGTGGTGAATTGCTTAGATTCTGATCCGTGCAAGTCCAATTTTGACTGACTTTAGTTCTAATGTTAATGTTAATTTGACTTCAACCCATAGGTAATTATTTAAATTAACTCAAAATTTCACATGATGATGGATTAGTGTTACACATTTTTCCCACTAATTTGTTTTACAATTAGGCCAATGGTAAAGAGAGCCATTGATGACCTTGTGTCCCTTTTGTTAGTACGTGGTTCCATTTTGTCTATGGCCTTGGACGGCTTCACTGAAAGTCACCCAGTTCTGCCCTGCTACAGTCCGGCTGAGTGCAGTCACAGAGATGCTATGGCTGCTCTACATCACATTAATGGTCTGGTCCGAGAATGGACACCATTTCCTGCTCCCAGAGAGAATGACACCCCTCAAACTGCCGCTCTTCCTCCTCCAAAGACTCAGGAGGCACACGAGCATTACAGCCGTTGATACTGTCTCACGTGGGTCTGCTCCCCCCCACCGAGCCATGAACTGAAAGCTTGACATCTGCTTTGAACACTTGGAAGCCTCCCTGTCACACCAGCACCAACCCTTGGGTCAGTCAGATGAGACTAACGGCTTCACTTGGGGCATTTGGTTCAGATACATGACTCTCGTTACCGCAGAGTGGGTTGTTTTTTAAGGCTATTCATACTGATATGCAGAGGATGCCTGTAGGTTGGCAAGCTGTTAAAAGCCCCTACTATTGTTAAAATAGGCCTAATGTCAGGGGCCTCTTAATGTCTAGTTCTACATGTATTCACATTATATGGACAATGTTTCCACCTAGTAAAGTTAAAGGCTGCACGAAACTCAGGCTACAATACGACCATTCTGTTCTGCTCTAACGATTCAATTGATAGATTCTACATCAAAACAATTAGCTTTTATTGTTTCCAATGATAACGTCATTTTAAGAGAAGGAATGCAAACCTGTTTTCAAATGTAAGGTTTTGAATTTGTTTAACATTTCTCAGTAATGACACCCTCAGACACCCAATTCCATTTATGCTATGCCTTCAGTGGTAACTCAGATGTTAAGGGGATGAAGCTTTTCCTCCCAAATCAGATATGCTTTGTTTTTCAACAAAGGTATACATTTCCTGCATAATCTATGTTTCTCACAATTGTTTTTTGTAAGCTGCACACAGGTGATACTGAGTCTTCTCGATTAATAGATTATAAACTACACCATGCTTAAATAGACTCCTAAGTTATTATTTCATATGTGACATATGTAAGAAAAGGGAGGGAAGAGTCAATTATATTGAGTAATTGCTTTTATATTGGAACATTTATTTCTCAAACCTATGTTTTATGGAAGAGAAAATGCATTTCTGTTAAACTAATATTTTATCAAAAGGTAAATGGTGAATTAATATAACATTTAGAATCATTGAGAAAGGGTTATATCCACAGGGACTAGCTCACCTTTAACTTAAAATAATATTTCTCTGCTATGGACTGATGAGTATATGATTCTTGCATGTTAAATGACTAACACAAACCTTCAAAATGATAATGTGCATGTGTCAGGAAGGCTCCCAAATAATTCTGAGGGGCCTATCCTATTTTGTAATTAAATGATAATGTGCTAATCCATTACTTTGAGTTGTCTTCACTCAGAAAACATCCTGTGACGAAGGTAACTTTGTCACTGAGGACTGACGGCTTCAGGCCATGTACTATTGCACATGTGGTTTTATTTTGAAAAGTGTTTCCCTTTCCCTATGTCTGTTACTCCTGATTATGTTCACCTGGTGCCCTGTGTTGTCTCCTCCCCCCCCCCCACCTGTGTCTAATTGCTGATTAAAGTGTGTGTGTGTATTTAGGCTCTGTTTTTCCTGTCAGTAACAAGGTAGTGTGTGTGAGATCCTTGTGGCTGCTGACTGTGTTCAGGTGGACAGCAACTGAGGCTGTGAATCATGTGTCAGTGATGAATAAATGCCCACACCGGGTTGTATTTGGACGTTCTGCCTCCTTGCTTGGTCGGGCCGCTCAACGGTCAGCTTCACACATCCCTATCAGGTGTTGTGCCGATAACTAGGACAGCTATCATGGCCAAGGTTCAGAGAGAGAGGGTCACACTCTCCGGCTGCAGAGAGCACCCCCAGCCACGGACAAGGAAGCACGAGATCATTCGAGATGAGAGGATTCTAATCTTCAACTTTCTGATGAGATGGGATGCTTCTCTTCACCTTTCTGCTGAGAGAGGATTCTTCTCTTCACCTTTCTGATGAGAGGATTCTAATCTTCAACTTTCTGATGAGAGGGGATTCTTCTCTTCACCTTTCTGCTGAGAGAGGATTCTTCTCTTCACCTTTCTGATGAGAGAGGGTTCTACTCTTCACCTTTCTGATGAGAGGATTCTTCTCTTCACCTTTCTGCTGAGAGGGGATTCTTCTCTTCACCATTCTGCTCGGTGGGCTCAAGCAGACAACCCTGCAGGACGAGCGAGGGCTTCAGAGGCTTCTATAATACAAGGTTCCATGTTTCTTGGAGGAGCAGATGTCTTCCTAACCTCTCCCATCACGGGGGGGGGGGGGGACCTGGATGCATCACTAGGAATACGCAGTTGCACTGCTCTCAAGCAGATAGCAGAAGGAATGCAGGCAGATGAGCCTCCGTTTCACTGGGGGATCATACAGTGCTCACTGAATGAGCCACACAAAAGCAGAGCAATTGGGGGGGGGGGTTGAAATATGGTGCTCTGATGAAGAAGAGTTTGAGCCAATCAGCACCTCAGTGCTAATCTACAGTATCAGGATGCCTTTACACACCAGACACTCTGTCATAAAGAGAGGAGGAGAACGAGTCAGGAAGACTGACGGACATGTTCTTCCAGCTCTCGTACAAAGATGAACTTTGAATTGAATGACCGGATGTTTACAGATGTACAATTAATGATTGTTTTTATATTTCCAATGACCAGACATGTGTTAAATAGTGGTGATTAATATATTTTGTCGGATCAGATTACACTTTCGCACTAAACAAAATGTATTAATTGATATTTTCAGATTATAAGGTATTGAATAATAAGGTATTTCTACTATTATCACAGATAATGTTAATATCCTTAATAATCCAGCAATCAGGCTTAACAACACTACTCTTTAATGTATTATCCATGCACAGACAGACCTAAAATGATGTTTCAAGTACTGAATTAATTTCAGTTTTGGCCCAAAACAAATATTTATAATAATTCATATAACAATTATGTAGCATATTTGATCCTCAAATTAGAGAAGTATAATTTAAAGAAATTGATATTCTATATTCAACATTAGATAAACACAGAAGAATCCTTTCCAAGTACCATAAGTAGATGCTCAGGTAAGTATGGCTAATAGGAATAATTGATAGACTTAATTTGGTACAGATCAGTGGTAGCATTTACAAATGTAATAATTCAAGTTTTAAGAATGTTTAATCCTTCCTTTCCAGGTTTTTACAAAAGTCTTTGAATATTTACCTAACTTTTCCTTTTCAGATTTTGAACAATGTACTTGACTAAAATGAATGTATTGATTTTATTAAGACTAAGTGCCTTACTCTTGACTAAAGCGTAAGGAAGTCAAAGTAATCCTACAAATTGAAGACACTGCAATTTTGCAGATTACAGATTGATCAAATCACCACTGTGAATGTGTATACCTTAGCTGGATCTCTTATGATCCTACATTTAAAATGCTTTTGACTAGTGATTGCCTTGAAGTCAATCTTTAAACTGCAAGCTGGTTTTGATGTTATAGTTTGATAAGTGAGATTAACTAATGAGTAAATGTTAGTTTAGTTTTAAAAATAAATGTTTTTGTTATTATGTATCTGTGATTTTGTGTGTTCATTATTATGCTTTTGACAAAAGATGCTCCAAACACTGATGATTTTTCTATTATGATTGGCTGTATCAATCATTGTGATTGAATGTTTCAATCTTATGTTGTTCTTAATGTGATTGCTATTGATGTAATTGATGTTGTGTAAGTCCACACTCAAATCTGAAGATTCCCATTGATTTAAGTATTGAACAAAATATTATTAGAATAAGGGTTTAGATGATCAAAATTGATAAAAAGAGAGAAACTGTTGGGGAAATATTTTCCAAGGCCCATAACTTTGACCCAGTGTATCAGTTCATACTGTCCTGACTGAGCACACGCAACTGTAACCTTGGCTGCTCTCAGCATTTTGTCTCCCCGTTCCTTTCTCCCACAATGAAAGTGAAAATGTAATGTGTTTGGTCCGCTGTGGTGCAGTGGGCTAATGCGGTGACATACTAACATGATGCAATGTGCGCCTCCTCAGTGGTGAGGGTCATCTGTGTCACCCCCCCCCGAGGGACTATCTTAGCTGAGTCTTCACAAAACGTGAACATACTGACTGATAAGTGAATGCTGAAATGAAAATCCACTTACGTAGAGTTCTTGTACTGCAGGAAACCAAACTCATCCCTCTGTCCATCGGGGCACAGAGACTGCATGATAGGGATGATTCCTGCGGAGGTGAGGGGGGCCGCGCTGTAGAACGCTGCACAGTACAGATGTGGATAAGAGGAGGATGAGTCGCACCAGGTCAATGAAGATGAAGAAGCAGAGTGAGAGATTGTGTTAGAGTTAGAGAGGAGAGAGAAGGCCTTTCATCACTTTGCTGAACACAAATGGCCTAAGACATTTTCCTCGTCTATAACAGTCTATGAAAGCCCTCCCACCGGAAAACTAAAAAACTTCAGCTTTTGCCAGTAGCCCAATGTTTCCATGGTTACTGTGCTGCTGAAAGTGGTCTGAAACTGTTTATATACCATCTGTCAACGGAGTTATACTCACTAATTGTCTCCATAACTGAGGCCATTCCAATAATCTTCACATTGTTATGGATCTGGACCATAGACTATAAATGGACGTAGTGTCACGTCACCCATAGGATTCTGCAGAGTTGGCGAGAAGCCTAAAGTAGGGGGTGTCAGCCACTAACGGCTCGACAGTGACGTCAGAGTCTAACTCTCGCCTGATCCAAATAAGGGCAAAGAGGCGGAGCCGAGGCGGGACCTCCTGCCACCGAGCTGGAAGTTCCAGAGCTAGCTGAGGCTACCAAGCTAAGCTAACATGCTCCCCGTCTGCACACTGCCGTCGCATTTTACGTTTCTAAGGTAAGCGGACATGAAACTATTCAGCAAAACTATAAATAATAATCTAAGTTATTGAGTTTTTAGCATAATACTTCAGAATCTTAAAATCCCTTAACGTTTGTATGCAATTGTGCTAAATTCAACACTGGAATCAAGCAAATATTAATATGTTTGCATGACATTAGTTATTTATATTTTGCCATCACTTAATTATAGGTTTAATACATTTAAGTCAAGCTAAGGTACATGTGATGGTAGCTAGTTAGTGCTCTTACCTGTGAGGCCTCCTCCAAACAGCATAATAACCAGACTGTATCATTAAAACTAAGTACCAGTTCTAGATCCTTGACTTTAGACAAACAATTCAAAAGACAAAATGTATTTAAAGACCAATCTTTATTTGAATGTGCCTCTTAACCTGATATATTAGTTATACAGTAATAGTATTGACAATCTAAAAAAACTGAGCAACTCAACAGTGACATTTATATTTCTTATTGTCTAAAGCATTTATTATTTTCATTTTCCCCCTCTCATATTCAGTGTGGACGAATTGAGACAGCGTGGTGTCCAGAGAGCTGCTGAGACTTCAGGGAGAAACCTCCGTGTGATGGACGTCCTGTCTGTTGGTTTGGAGAGGACTGAGGGTCTTTCCTCAGCGAGGAGGACCAGGCCTGATGGAGGAGCCCATGCTGGGCAAAGCTGATACCAACTGCACAGGCCTAGTCTGTCACTTTATTTGACTAAATGTGTTTACTTATACATTTAATAGGTTTACACCTTCTGTCCATATGTGCTTTTTATTTAAAACATTTGATTAACTTTTGGTTCACATTTCAATAAATTGTATTTGTATTTGCACTCCTTTCGTCCATTATTCTTACTGAAAATGTTAGATTACACATTCACATCTGACTGAAGATTATTTGTGACGTTGCAAACTCTGCGGTACAAGGCACAAGTGATGTGAAGCTCATAAAGTGAGGCAAATATAAATAAGCAGCTGATGGAGTGTAGATGTGGAAATAGGTGCATTCGATCAGCTGACTGTGTTTTCGCCACACTTTATAAGCCTATAACCACACCTTCTCTGTTTTCACAATAAAAGTAGTTTCTTAGTGAATGTCCTGTACTGGTCTTAAAATCTCATAACATCAGCTTTTAATGTTCCTCTTGGATGTTCTTCTTGACCCTCCGAGAAGGAGAACATGTTGTGTCTTTCAGGCATGTCCTTTCCTAACAAAAATGACAGGAAACATAAAACATATTATTGCAGAACAAGTGTGTTATTTATGAAAGCAGTGTGTTTGTGTGTTTAGGGGCTGTAGATATCATTATTTTGTAAATGTAATGTTTTTTTTTTATTTCAACAGTGAGCTACAAAGACAATCAGATTATGAATGAACAGTATGAAGCTCATCAACATTGAAATATATGTTATTATCAAAATAATATTGAACTGTTATCAAAACGTAGTGCAACTGTAGAAGCTTGCTCTGTTGTCTCACTGAAAGAATAACTTTTACCACGTTTTTTGGTATTACCAATACCAATACTTACTATTTATTTCATACTAATTTGTTAATACAATTAATAAAAACAACAAGGTTTGGGTTCGTTATTCAGATGACTGTGACGTTAACGTGTAAGCTCGATAATGAACTCCAGCTCAACAAACCATATTGTAATATCTAAGTAATCATCTTGAAATATGACATTAATAATTGTAATATACACACATCTTATTGTGAGGTTGATTTCACATACACTACGCTGCTATTCAACACTACTTTGACGTTAGCTAGTCTACATACTCAAGCATAGCGAATTTAAATTAACCTTAGATGCATACAGTTACCTACTAGTGTTGTCACGATACCAACATTTTGGTTTCGATACCGATACCAAGTCAAGAATTGCGATTCCGATTATTTTTCGATACTTTTCTTAAAAAAAGGGAAACAGTCTTAAATGTAATTATTGTGCTTTATTTCACACCAGAACCATAACCATAACACAAACTTTTAAACAATGAGAACAATAAACAAAATAAATGATAAGAATTCGTATTAAATAAAATTCAGCATCATCTCAAACAACTTTTTTATTTTATAAAATATAGTTGTTTTAATATTTTGTTAACATGTAATAGTACAGTAATATAAATAATTATTAACAAAATATATATTGCCGATGTTAGCCGCATTGGTAAGTTAGCTAAAAAGATAGCCATATTAGACAGTTATCATTGCCATTAATTGCCTCGTTTGTCACAAAATAAATTACACTGGTTTGACTTAGATTTGAGGGCATGGGCTTGAGCATGATGTAATTATGTTATCTATCACATTCGCTAACCTGTCTGGATGCCGGTTGGCGAGGTGCTTAGCCAAGTTTGATGTGTTGGCTCCCTTGGTTTGCAGGGATCTAAAACATGTCTTACAGACAGGCCTCGTGGTGTCCGTAGGCTTGCCCTCACTGTCAGAGATATAGCTCAAATACTTCCAAATACTTTTCCCCGTCATTCTTAAAGTACCGATACTAATGAAACGGAGGAATCGTACCGTTTGTAACGGCAGGGTATCGCGGTACCTTTCAAGTATCGGTACACCGTGCAACACTATTACCTACATAATCAAATATCTCACTAATTTACAAGTATGACCTTATTTTATCAACCTCAAACAGAAGCCGTTTGTTCTACAGTATTATCCCACTTAACGCTTAACACTTCTCTATTTCGTTTTAACTTGGAGGCTACAATTAGCATCGTTAGCACAGATGTAGCTAGCTACCACTGCATTACACGCTAACCCAAGCCTTAACATTCATCACGTAGCTGATTGAAATCATAAACACATCAATAAGTACTCGAATTTCACTTACCGCAAAACTGCATTCATGCACCGTCTGTTTTAACCGCAGAGCGAGTCACAATAGTCCGATATATAAGCATGAAGAACAAACAACCACGGCCGAGTTCAAGTTGTGTTTCCTGGATGAACTGAGCAGGCAGAGTCCCTGTAGCCAGTGTTGCCAACTCCATAGTAAGGAAAGTAGCTATTGGCTGTCCGAAAAGTCGCCAGAAGTCGCTAAATGACGTCATCGCCTAATTTGCATATCATGTAATGGCGGCTGTAGGCAAAAAACGTTCCCAACCCTTCAAGGATCTAAACTTGAAACCACCGGAGTTAAATCCAGACGACAGTAGATCAGAAATGTCTTTGCCTTTTGAGTATGTTTTGGGGTTTTAACATGACAGTTTGGCATAGAAATCCCCCTTACAATAAAGGCAGTATGCCCGTGTGTCTACTCCAATAAATGGCTTCAACCATCCTTTATACTCAGGGTTTGATTCCCACTCCTTTCTGTATTTTTGAGAATACAATTTAGACTGTGCCATGATGTTTAGCTTGTCACAGAGAGGCACACACACAGTGGACGAGGTGATTGAGTGACTGAGGCTGTGTGAGGCAAAGCAAAGCAAAGGCAGTTATTTATTATAGTGTGAAAGTGAGTGAAGAAACATTTACATTCAACATTTAAATCCCGCTCAAAACCAGGACGGCTTGGCAGTTGGCGCATGCGCAATACATTTGCAGTCTCGACGCGGGGGAGTGTGGTTGTCTCCTCTCTGCTCTGACACAAATAAGTCGCCGGAGGGTTTGGAAATCTGCCAAATTTAACGAGAAAATCGCCAAGTTGGCAACACTTCCTGTAGCTAGCTTCACGGAGCAGCTAGCAGAGAGACAAGAAGCTAGCAGCAGCAGTCACTGGACAGAGCTGTCACTCAATGTGACCACGCCCTAATTTATGCATAACTTTAAGACTGAATATTAATTAAACAGATGAGTTGAGAAATAATTCACCCCCCAATCCATAGTCATTAAGGGGGAATCTAACTATACAGAGAATATGGTTTTTTAAACCACGATGTAAACATGTTTATTTCTGCTGTAAAGTTGGGCATTTTAACATGGGGGTCTATGGAAATTGCTCCCTTCTGCAGACTGCTCCTACTGGCCACTAGATGAACTGCAGTTTGAGGCACTTCCTTATTGTCCTCCCGGCTCTGCCCCAGAGTTTGCCGCTTGATCTGGACATGTTGCATGTCTTCTAGTTCTTTGTTAAAGTTACCAACATGATTTTTCAACCCCTCTTTATGTCCTCTGTAAACTCAAGCTCCTGCTGTTAGGAAGACTGAAGAGAATATTAAAGATGAAAATACACCTCATGATCTTTAGAAAATTCAAACACAGATTTGCAATAAGGCTTTTTTTTAATACAATTTTATCAACTTAAAAAAAGTGGAGCACTAATTATTTTATTAGCGTTAAAGGGTTTATGCAATCAGTAAGAAAGTGATATAACCTCACAGTGTGTATGTATGAATGAAGTGGGTCTGTGAAGTACCCTGACATGTTAACATGAAGGTGACAATTCATAGCCTACAGATCATCTCTCTATCTATATCTCGATCTGTATATGTCCACCTCGAGCAGCGAGCTGTGAATATAGGTCACCAATGGAACGTGTAAACACAGGTGGTCTTTAAGTCAAACGTGGACTTAAAGGTGCACACGTATGGAACAATAAATACCTGAAATAAAAGGCATTTCATAAAGGAGACACAGACAAAGTCACAACAATATAATGCACTGCAGAGAAACAGAGAGCAGCCTTTTGGAAAAGTGTTAAAATAAATAATTAAAGGCTAGATGTGTCACGGCTCAGAGTTAGGTGAACACGCAGAGACAGACACACACAACCAGAGCACGGTTTACCTGAGTGTGAGCCGGGGTCAGAGCAGGCCCAGACTGGCCATCGGGAGCACCGGGAGGTTTCCCGATGGCCTGGCCTGTTAAGTGGCCTGCTGGCCTGAGGATTCTTTTTTGTATGTATTTATTGTGAACGCAACGCTGCGCAAATGTGGGTCTGACTCTGCCTCACAGAGGGTGACTGGCTGTCTACATGATGTGGCCTGCCGACATGGCCACTTTCATACAGATCATACACTAAAGCCCTCGATTGGTCTCTCATTCAAGCTCGGGAGGGTGTGTGTGTATGTGTGGCGGGCGCGAGCGAGCGAGAGAAAGCATGCGCACCGGTTACGTGTATTGTTGCTGTTAGCATCTGGTGCTAGCTAGCGGCGCTAATGGATAATGAGCTGTCAACAAGGTGGAGGAGAGTCCTTTCCTGTCAGACTGAGAGACTGATAACTACAACTCAGGTGAGGTAAAGGACTCTGAGTGTTTAGATAACTTAGTCTGAGTTATCTCAGTGGGTCTCAAACTGTTTGGTCACCATTTATGTAAACACATATTTCCATTTGAAGGGGAGTGATTAGTAAAATATGCATGAATAATTAAAAACAAATGTTAACTAGGTGAAAAAAGGTAAGAAACTTTTAAAACTTGTTGAGAGCTAAAACTAGTCTTTGCTTCTGCCTCAAAGAGGAGAAGGGAGAGAGGAGGGAGACAGGTGAGGCTGGTTCAGGAGCCCAGACACACTCACAACTATAAATGAACCAAAAACAAATAAATAAACAAGTTCAAATGTTTTTAAATATTGGATATGGTATGTTATTGGTTATGGCCATGTTCTTATGATTTTATGATTATTTCAATGTTTACAGTTCTGTTTCATATGGGTGTTTCCATATATCTAGTCTCTTTATTTCCCCCTCAAAGTGTACTAGATTGATGCATTTAACTCCAACATTTAACAAAAAAATCTTACCGGGAGAGCATGCCCCCGGACCCCCCTAGAGGATTTGAGGTCCACCCCCACTTCAAATATGTTCACATGGCTAGATTCCTAAATAGATTTTCAATTTTTTTTTTAAATAAATAGTAACCCATCTCCATAAGTTTATTTTTGGGTAGTAGATTTAAACTATAGGGCTATCACTACGGGCAGCAACGCTGTAAATATTGACAAATAAATCCAGCAAAATGGCACAAAAAAAAACTGGTAGTGGCCTGGCTGGGTGTATAATTTCCGGCCTGACTTATTGTCCCAGTCCGGCCCTGGGTCAGAGGCATATACCAGGCAGGGTGTGTGTAAGTGAGTCACTTGTGAAATATGATGTTCTGCTGACAGTACACTTGGTCATGTTTGTGATTAACTTAATCATAATTGTATTTACCGAGGTGATAGCCAGCAACGTAGCAATGGTTAGAAGGGTCTGTTAGGGTGAGTGAAGCCAAAGAACAAACAGACACGCTGGGTTCGTTCACCTGGCTTCGTAGTACACGGCCAGGTTTGAGGACAGAATTAAGTCATGATGAAACTTACACACTGGTCCATCCAACACGTTGAGAACATGCATCAGGCACAGGACAAAAAGAAAAACAGACCATAAAGAACAGTAAAAACAAAGAAGAAAAAAGATGAAGGAGCAACATGGACAAAAAACATTCCATTTAAAGTGGCCACAAGTAAGTGCACTCAGAGCAAACTAAAACATGAAAACGACCTCCTTAGGACAGAGCATCACAATATTAAACGTGATTAAAGGACACAACAGCTACATGGTGGAAGGCATCACATCACCTTGGTGACAGCAGCAGATTACACATATTTTTAGAATGCATGACCATTCAGCACAGAATTCTAAAATATATTTTATGACTGCAGGCAGGTCCAGGCAAACTTATCATTCCAACTGTCATTTTCTTTTATGGGGGACCGACAGCAATGCATACTGTTTAGTTCCATCACATGTTTCTAGCATTGCTGTCAGAACCACGTATCTCTGAAAAGTTAACTTTAGATGAGCTCAGATAAACAGCCCTCTTTTCAAATGTTCAGCTAACACAAGGACATTGTGAGTGTATTGGGTAATCATTTTACCCTTTAAGAGTACATTCAAATATGTAGTAGATCCACTGCCTACCTTCCTTGACAGGAATCGCTGGCTTCTTCTGCCTCAGACCCAGGAGTATGAAGAAGAGGACCAGTGGGATGAAGATCTCAAAGGCCAGCACCCACTAGAGGGGAAGAGGAGAACATTGACAAGTTTATTTGTGCTTCATTTCCAATGAAACTTAGCCAAGGCCCAGTTTGAGTGCAGTGATCCTGGTGACCTCAGTCATGGTTATTTAACATGGATCTCTATTTGTCAGTTCCCATCTCCCTGGATCACTGTACAATAGATTGAGTATGCCTACTGTCACATATCCATTAATTACATCTGAGACGGAGTGTGAAATAATCCTGTTCAGGGCTGCCAGTCCTGTCAGGTAGTTAGTTTTTTCAAACAGTATTTGTAGCTCCTCTATAGTGTTGATAGATGAGAGCCGCTGCCTTGGAGTAAAGAAGCATAAAGAGACGTAATCTGACACTGATATGAGCATGTTGACTAACTACAGTACCTTCTCACATACACATACACACAAACACAAACACACCTCCTCCCTGGGCCTGATCATGTGCTCACATTTGATACCAAAGTACAGTCTGCATTCAATCCTAAATGACTTCCTTTTCCATCCTTATTCTTGGTATAAAACTGATCAGTCAGCAACTACAAATTCATTGAGAGACACAGCAGACTCAATTCATAAATCACATTGAGCCTGGAGAGGAGAGGAGATAACATTTGAATTGTAGCAGGTGTTCAGACTTCTCAATGGCTGGTCAGTCTGCTTGTACATACATGGTCCAGCATTAGATGCCCACATAATTACATCCACATCTGGTTCACATACAAGGTATTTGCCTTGGTATTGTAACATAAAAATAAATGTCAAGAATCACATCCAAAATTATATTAAAGGGCCCATTTCATGCTTTTCCGGTTATCACCCGTCCCCTTGTGTGTTATGAAGGTTTTTATGCATGTAAACGGTCTGCAGAGTCACAAACCCTCAAAGTACACCCTGTAGCGAGTAAAACTCTAACACAGTCTATGCTGCCCCAAAACGCCTCGTTGGAGATTTCTCATTTTCCATTGTTTACTTCCTGGGTACTGTGACGTGTGAACACCCAGAGGCCACACCCTCTGCCAGCCTTTCACGTAACAAAGCTTCCCAAACCTTTCAGCGATTCATGCCGGATATGTACAGCGTAGGACACTGAAGAACGATGCTGTTCCTACTTTGTTTGGACCAGCGGGAGATTCGGCTACACAACCTGTAAGTATTCATTGTTGTTCAGTTTTTACTATCTTTTCTTTTTTTTACTATCTTTTCTTTTTAATGACTGTTTTTAAATGCCTTTGTCTGAATGTCTTTCATTTTTGTAAAGCACCTTGAATTGCCTTGTGTTGAAAGGTGCTAAATAAACTTGCCTTGTTTGTGTATTTATGATGTTTAAAACAAACAAGGTATCTACCATGACTGTTTAAATGGGTAAACGTTTTTCGGGCTGCTAATGACACAGTGCTAACTGGGCTAACTACGTTTCTAGCGTTTCCATATATCAACTCCAATGTCAGCAGATGGCCTTACATGTATCTCATAGCAGGAGAATGTCTGCATTCACACAGGAAATACTCATAGACAGTATACTCCGGGTGATTTACCATATGGTCAGTCGCGAAACTTAATTACATTATAGTTGGCGTTCCTAGCGTGTATGCTACCGAGCTAAAAAAGAAGGCTACCAAGAGCTAGACATGAGTTTGCTAGGGAAAACATTGTTTCCATGCCAGCTACAATGAATGACCGAACGTAGCAGACAGTTACATAGTAGCATGTTCTTGCTAGCCTAATATGAACCACTAGCTGTTGTTCATAGTAGGTTGGCATATTACACTGAACAACTAGCAAACGTAGGTTAGCATATTAATCTAGCTGGCAAGCTAACGAACCTAAAACAACTAAGTTTCTCTAATATTTTGTGATTTTGCATTTGATTTCGTCCAGCCAGATCAGGAAACTCCTGGCGTATCTGGCGGACAACACATGACGGGATGACCACTCTGATGCCTCGTCCTAAAAAGCTCCAGCACCAGCTTACAAAGCTGCGATAGGCAAGATTCCGAAAACGTCTATAAGGGGAGGAATGGATGATATACAGTGTATATATGTATATTTACATTCATTTTGTACATTTCTAAAAATAAAGTTTGATGGAAATACTTAGTAGCCTTTCTTCCCTGAATGATTTGCTCTGATAACATATCATTCATATATAGCATACCATGATTTGATTTTTCATCAAACACAGTAGTAGTTTATTACAGGTAAGAATAACTTGCTCTTCTTCCATTCTACGCCTCAAAGGTCCATAATCAAATCTGTTATGGAGGTTCTGCAGGGTGTATGGGTTGAGACAGTTTGGCTCTAGTAGTCCTGGCTGGTGTACCATGCACATAATAGGTGCTGGGACTTGGTTCATTCGTGTTACAACCTATAGGAAGGTAAGATATTTGTAACATAACACGTTTAGCATTTAAACCAACTATGGCAAGGTTTACAAAATAAACATTAAATTACTAAGGAAGAAATAAAAAGGCATATAATAGTCTATTGACTTGACAAATACGTATGGTGTATATCTTGGCATATAATGTTGTGTGCTACTGTTGGTGTTTTCAGCTAGCTGGCTACATAATGTTGTAACTGTCAGCTAGGCTACCTTTCTAATTTCTTTGCAATAGACGTTTTCCACTTCGGTAGGCATCATGGCGCAGTTTCCACAAGTGCACCTAAATAACAACAGTTGTCAGTTCAGTTAGTTAGCGGACAAACTTGTTACTGTGATGTAGTTAAATGATGCAGTTCTAACATCTGAAATGTAAGAGCGATACTAAATAAAAACGTTCCACTGTGAAACCGTCTGCTCTAGTCTAGTTTGGGACGGTGGATCAGGTCTATCACGTTGGTCTGTCTCACTTTCAGGATCGGACTCCGGTTCAAACATATACGGCTGTACCGACGCCATTGTAAAACTGATGTTCCGCTTAGAGCCGAAAAAAGCACTGTGTAACGGCCCGTCTACACTACAAGCATCGAAAAATGCTTTCAACGCTTCGCCCATTCATTTGAATGGGGTGACGTAGAAGATTTTTAAACTTCGCCGAACTGCATTGTGGGGAGCATGGCATGGCTTTGCAAGCATCACGAGCATCTATCGGCATCAAAAGTTGAACAATGTTCAACTTTTGAGGCTCGATGCTTGGCATCAGCCAATCAAATCCTGCGTATGCAAATCTGACAGTACAAGCGCTAGCCAATCAAACCGTGTGTATGCTGGGAGAGACTACGCAGGTCATTTCCTCATATTCAAAAAAATGGAGAGAAAATTCATTATAGCGGTAGTGAATCACCCGGTGCTGTATGATCAGTCTCTGTTCATCTACCGGGATACAAACCGGAGGAGCGAGGCATGGAGGGAGGTGGCAGAGACAGTGGATGAAACTGGTAGGTTTTCGCCTGTTTAGATTAATAGATTAACTGTCTAAATCCCGTATCCAGCTGCCGGACTCGGGCTCGTAACGTGCAGGCGGCCTCCTCACGCGGCCTGGCCGAGTAGGCTGGGGCAGCGTCGGCGGCGACTGCGGCACCGGGAGCGGTGCGCCCAGGAAGGCACCCGTAGGAACGGTGAGGTCAGAGGACGCCTCACCAGCAGGCGCCGGTGGGGAAGCGCCCATAGCAGAGTCGCGGGGTCCAACAGCTGGCCACTGAGCAATCCCCTGGGGCGTCGCCCAGCCCGGGTGGATAGGTGGGGGCTGATGGTCCAGGGCCGGTGTTGGACATCAGGAGGCGCTTAGCAGTCTTAACCGCAACTTCCGCCCTCCCATTCGACTGCGGAAAGCTAACGGAAGACACACGGTGTTTGACGTGCCATAAGCGGAGAAGTGTGGCTCACCTTGAATTCCGGACCACCGTCGCTCGAGAGCTCCTCCGGTACGCCGAAGGTGGCGAAGAACGAACAGAGGTGTTGGACCAGGCCAGCTGAGCCCGCCAGGGCAGTACCCGCCGTAGAGCTCAGGACCTCTACCCAGCCCGAGAGCCGGTCCCCGACAACTAGGTAGTGGCGGCCCCCATAGTCAAAGAAGTCAGCAAACACCGCCTCAAATGGCGTGGACGGGGGTGAGGACGGCTGGGGCGGTGTAGCCGCCTGTGACGGAGCATTGCGGTTGCAGTCTGCACACCCGTCCCTGGTGGCCTGAATGTCCCCGGACATCCCGGGCCAGTAAACTATGGCTCGGGTATGCTGCCCCATCGCTGAGGTCCCCTGCTGAGCGGCATGGAGATGCCGATGGACTCTCCCACGGAGGGATGGGGGGACCACGACGCGGTCCCGATAGAGCAGGACGCCGTCCTGCGCGTAGACGGACTCACAGACCGATGACAGACTCACCAGGGCAGGGTCATTAACGTCAATCCCACCCTCCTGCTCGATGAGTTGGAGGAGGTGGCCGAGGCATCCGTCAGCCGCTGTCTCCCGTGCGACGAGGGGCCAAGAGACGGCTCCGAGCTCCTGTGCGTCGTTGCGGATGGAGGCCATGAGTGCTGACTCCACGGTGTCAGGCCTGCTCGGCAGCCCCAATGAAAGGCCGTTTGCTGAGCCCGAGGGGGAAGGATGCCTCGACGTGGCATCAGCGGCATAGTTGCTCTTGCCAGGCAGATGCACAATGTCAAAGCGCCATGGGAGGGTGTGCGCTGCTTGAGTCTAAACAGACGCGAGTTCGTTATCTCATCCAGCGTACGGTCGCCAAAGATCTTCACCAACGGCTTATGGTCGGTGACCACGACGAGGTTGTCGGACCAGTGCGTGAAGTACCGCGTCTGTTCCAGACCCCAGGCCACAGCTGGGGCCTCTCCCTCGACGACCGCATAGCGCTGCTCCGCAGGGGACAGGAAACCCAAACCCGCGAGGGTGATCCTCCATCCACCTGGACAGCAGTCCGGTATGCCCGAGGCACAGTGACAATGTTGCTGGAGCAGGAAGTAGCCAATGCCACGCATGGACCAGTCAGGGCGGAGGCAGGTACGCTTCTGCATGTCGTAGATCTCCACGCCCTCGCGGATGGCCTCCA